GAGGGATGGTCTCAAGCAACAAGTAGCCGAGGAGGTACTTAATTCCGGCCGGCGATTGATTGCTCATGCGCGTGCGGGTGCTCGGGCTCTCTTTTCCCTAGGGAAGATCGAGGGGCCGCCCTCTCCGGGGGCTGCCGGGTTTCGAGGCCGGTGTGATTAGCGTCTTTAAGGCGAACATGGTTGGCGCTTTTAAGGTTGATTCGATTAATGCTTCCGAGGCTGATATGATTAGCGCTTCCGTATCTTGCACCGCGCTGCAATCGGCTGCCACGTCATGCTGCATTTATGGCGAGGTGACGCTCTTGGTCTTCGCAGCGCACTTTGGGAGGGGAAGGGTTGCCGTTTTGGCGGGATTCGGCTTGCTTATAAGTAGCGTGAGGCTAGCCGTCGGGGGGTCTCTTCATCTGTTTTCGTCGTGCTACTTCGTACCCCATCATTTTGCTCGCACCTATCGTTCCTTCTTTTCTTGCTAAAGGTCGGTAAGAATGGTGTCTTCCCCTTCCCATTCGTATTCTTCTTTGTGGAAAGCCGGGGAGACGGCGACTTCGTCGAATCCCCCCTCGTCATCCGACGGGGAGGCGGCCCGGGCCCTGGAGGCCCTGATGTGGCCGCACGACCATGACTCCACCGTGGGCGAGTCGTCGCTGAGCCTCCTCCGGGATCGCTATGGCATCCCGGAGGAGTTTGTCCTTCTTGCACCGGAGCCCGGTCAACGAGCGTATGACCCGATTCCTAGGGGTTTCGCCCTTACCCTTGACGCTTTCGAGGCCGGGCTCCGGCCTCTTGGCTCTTTACGAGCATGTCGTCGACGTACACTTCCATGTTTCGTCTGATCTGGTGGGCGAACATTTTGTTCACCATCCTCTGGTACGTTTCCCCGACGTTCTTTAATCCGAAAGGCATGACTTTGTAAAAGTAAACCCCTTGGTCGATGAGAAAGGCCGTATGTTCTTGCTCTTCGGGTGCCATCCTGATTTGGTTATATCCCGAGAAGGCGTCCATAAACGAGAGGCGGGCGTGACCTGCCGTGGCATCGACCAGTTGGTCGACCTTCGGAAGGGGATAGCAGTCTTTCGGGCATGCATTGTTGAGACTGGTGTAATCAACGCACATCCTCCAGCTTCCATTAGCTTTTTTGACGAGGACTACATTCGAAAGCCATTGCGGGTAATTGGCTTCTTTTATGAAGCCTGCCTCCAAGAGTCGAGCCACTTCTTCTCGTACGACTATCTACCGCTCTGGGGCCTGCCGTCTCAGCTTTTGTTTTTCTGGGCGGGCTTCAGGTGAGATACTGAGGTGATGTAGGGCAACTTCCGGGTCGACGCCTGTCATGTCAGAGGGCGACCAGGCGAAGACATCAGCGTTCTTATGTAGAAGGCCGACGAGCTGTCCTCGTTCTTGCTCGGGTAGCTCCAACCCGATCCTAACCGTTTGCACTGACCGATCCTCTAGCAGCGGCACAGCGATGGTGGACCCCCTCGGCTCAAGATGGGGAGCCGTCTTCTGCGTTTCTCGGGGGGTCTGCCAACGGCGACTCGGTCCTGACCTTCTTGTGTAACGAGACGGCGGTCAGGTAGCAGCGCTGGGATTCTCGAGGACTTCCTGTGATCTCTCCGGTCTTGGCGTCGGTCGGGAACTTCACAGTTTGGTAGTAGGTCGAGATTACGGCTCTGATTTTGTTGAGGGTCGGCCGACCGAGAATGGAATTGTACGCGGCGGGGAGGTCGATTACCAAGAAGGAGGTCATTATTGTCTTCGACCTTGGCGGGTTTCCCAGGGTTAAGGGCAAAGTGACCGCCCCTAGTGGTGAGATTGAATCACCGGTGAATCCGGTGAGCGCCGAGGATATCAGCTTCATGTCTGGATAGACCGAGCTTCTGGAAGGCATCGTAGTAGAGTATGTCGGCCGAGCTCCCGGTATCGACCATGATTCTTCTCACCTGTGCATTGGCGATTCTGGCTGATACCACGAGCGCATCGTCGTGCTCGGCTTGTTCGGACGTTCTGGCCGGGAAGGTGATGTTAGGACCGGGCGCGTGTTCGGGGGCTTCGGCCGAGGCGGCTCTGGCGTACGCCTTCCTTCTGGTCATGGAGTCCCCACCAGACGCGGGGCCGCCTATTATTACGTCGATGTGTCGCTCGACGGGGCCCTCTGGGCGTGGCGAAGGTTCCTTATCTGGGCAGAGGTACTGGCCGAGGTGTCCCCTGCGAATGAGCTCCTCGATCTGTCTCTTTAGCTCCTGACACTGTTCAGTGTCGTGCCCACGTTGCCGATGGAAGCGACAATACTTCGATTGGTCCGCCAGCGCCCGCAGACTTCTCATCGGGTATGGCTCTTTGAGTAGTCCCTTCTCCCTTATGTGAAGGAATATTTCTGTTTGGGACGAGTTCAAGGCTGGGAGAGGGGGCCTCGGAGTAGGCGGGTCGGATCGGTCCAACCTACGCCGTGATGCCGCGGGTTGCTGCTGCCGAGGCGGCTCTGGCTTGGTCCCTTTGTGTCCCCCGGGCCTCCCGGCCATCCATGCTTCCGCGGTGACGAACTGACTCGCACGCTGGAGCATCTTGGGCACCGTCGTAGGAGGTCGTTCTACTAGGGACCAGAAGAACCTTGAGGGTCGCAAGCCTATCATGAATGCCTGCATCAGTAGAGAAAGGTGAGCATCCGAGAGTCCTCGGATCTGTGTCGTAAAGCGGTTCAAGAAGTGAGAGAGGGACTCATCCTCCCTTTGGTTGAGCCCGAGGAGCAGCGCCACGGACGGCTTCGGGCAGGCATAGGCGAGGAAGTTGAGCTCGAAGTCCCGGACGAGATGGTCGAAGGAAGTGATGGTCCCGGTCTTGAGACCGTCGTACCATGCGCGGGCCGGTCCCCTAAAAGTTGTCGGGAACGCCCTACACATTAAGGCGTCGGAAGTCCCGTATAGCGTCATTTGGGCGCGGAACGTGGCTACATGATCCGCGGGGTTAGTGGCGCCATCATAGGCGTCCAAGGATGGGAGCCGAAAGTGTGACGGAATGGCCTGATCTTGTATTTCGGGTGCGAACAGGGACCCTTGGTATCCGTCCGCCCCGGGCTCCCCATTTGACCTGCGAATCTCTTGTTGCACTTCGTTGAGGCATTGATTAAAGAGACACACCTGGGCCCGCAGGGTGCTCATCGGGTCTATGGAAGGTCGTTCGGGCTCCGGGCGGCTCGACGTGCCTTCCGCCTCCCGGTCCCCGAGCGGGGCCGTTTGGTTTCGAGGAGACAGAGGGGGCTCGGGGAGCAGCGCGTGCATCCGGGGGGCGGGCTCCCGCTGTTGCAAAGGCCGGGTTGCATGTGGGGGCGTTGGCTGGGAGACGAGCGGGATGATAGTTTGTACCACGCCCGCCAGTGCCCGCACTTGGTGGGCGAGATCGTGGAAGGCTTCGGGCGAAACGAGTGGTGGGCCGACGGGGGCGTCGGGTGGCGACAAGCCCGGGTCTTTGAATAGCCGCCAGTATCGCTCCGAAGTCATGGCGGGGCGTTTGTCTCGGAGCCCCTCCCGGGAGGGATGATCTTCCGGGGTTCTGACCGAGCGCGGCCCCGTAGCTGCGGGTTCGCCCAAGTGGGTCTGCTGATCGATCGACATTCGGAGGCCCTCCTTCTAGCGCCAATCTGTTATGGTAAATAACTTTTTTAGCCGTGACCTCGGGGTCGACGCGGCTGGTTCAGGGGTCCGAATGGCGGGGATCTTGCGTGGCATGCCTTGGGTCCTTCTGGTGGCCGACCCTCGGTGATCTGGATGTCCCGTCAGGGGGAGAGCTCTGCCGCAGCGTCGGGGAAGAGGCAACCTCGTCTCGCACCTGCACACTGGTCGGGTCGGAGGCTCAACCCGACCCCTCCGACGATCAAGTTAGCGACGTGGAGAGGGTGGTGGAAGAGGGAGTGCTCTTGTGTGTGTTCTGTCCCCCCCTCCGTTTAGAACGCAAGGGTATTTATGGGGAAGCTTACCGTTTCCTGGTGTACCCACCTGTGTGAGGCAGGGTCGCACCTCTGATGGCGTCTGACACCGTCACTGACGTTGCGTGGAGAACCGGATCGTTGCAGGGTATGGGCGAAGGTCGGTAGTCGTCCCGCCCTGCCATGGTCAAGTGTGCGGGGTTGGAAGCCATTGCCTGATAGCGGGTGTCGCCAACACGAGTCGAGTCAACGTTATTGCTCTCCTCATCGGGCAGAGTGGCGCCCACGTGGGGCTTTTGCCGTGACACGTCATGTCGCTCATTACTCGATTCTGATTAGTGAACTAATTCGAGTTAACCCTTTCTCATACTCATCGATTTCTTTCTCCTCCTCCCTTCACTCCTTCTCAACCTTTTTTTTTTCTCCCTTCCCTCCTCCTCTACGTTATCTAGGGATGACAATGGAGGGGATGATAACTAAATAACGATTGAAGAGTAATAGAAAGAGGGCTAAAAAAAAAAGGAGGGAAGAAAATCAAATCACCCAATTCAACTCGATTTGCTCTGATTTTACAAAAGAGCCATTGGAGCCAACCCACGCATGGAGGGTGGCGGCCGACAAAGTTAATGTATTGTGTGCCAACCGATTAAACCTATGAAATGTTTGAAATTTTCTCCTTGAATAGACGGTGTTAATGACATTTTTCATCCTGAACTAAGGAACTTGTTTGTATCATATCTATTTATTTAGTATCTAAAGTACACTAGCATCTTTTCTTTTTTTTGTTCTTGTGACTAATGATAGAAATGCAGAGGGTTTCTCCCCTCTTGCATACCACATGCAATCTCAAATTCTGTGATGAACAAGTTGTATTATCCTTGTGGCTTGTAAATGTTTGCCGACAGACAGTAGCACAAATGATATAAAGTTTGACTCTACTGTCTCTAACTTGAATCCTTGATGTGTTTGCTGAGGCATTTCACCATTGTGAAGTACTATTATTATTTGGCATGCCTTAAGGGTCAAATCTTTTGCTTTCAATTTGTTCTTTTTAACTGCTTTTTCTAGTTATGTATGGCTTTAATTCACATCCAAATTATATAGCTAAAAGCAGGTAAGATCTTCAAGAGGAATTGTATCTTCAGAAAAAGTGGGGAGCTTAGAAAAAGGTAATTCGTTTATGCAAGTAATTTATAATTTATTATTTTGGAAAAACAGGTTTCTAAACAAGCAATTGCAATTCTCCTCACTCTGCCTCATCATACTGTCTGCCATCTTCACTGAAATCAAAAATCAACAATGTGGTTTAGCTGCTAGATCATGAACTGTGACTTCATGTTGCAGCTGATTCCTTTACTTGGAGATGTTCCAGTCCCAGCAAAAGCTAGCAAGTTTTAGCATCTTATTCTTCTCACAGTGGTGTCCTTTTGACCTTAGTGTTACAGGAAAGGAGGGTCACTCCAGAGAAGAGAATAAAGCTGGCAAGACACAAATATAGTAGGCTTCCTTTAGGGTATGAAGTACACTTTGCATTGGACTAGGGGTGGACAAAGGGAACCCAACCAAAGTCAAATACCAAGCAAAAGAAAGGTTAGAAACAAAGATTCAATTGGAAATTGTGTAATGGAATGGTGTTCTTGTTATCTACTGGCATATTCTTCTTTGTTTCTACAAAGTAGGAACCTTTGAAGGCTGGCAACACAAAAGCATCACAATGAACGGCCACAACAATGTCAGCATCACAATAAGTTAATGCGATGGAAGGTGACAAGCGCTGGTAGATGCGATAACTCACAATAAGTTCTGCAATGGAATGTGCAATGGCTTCTAAAGAAAGAAGCCATCAGATAATGAGACTGATGTAACTTCTCAAAAAGAAAATATACTTCTTTTTATTCATAATCGTTGCATTACAATTTTTGCCTATAAAAAGAAGAAAAAAAATTTCACTCAAACTTCTCACTTAGTGAGACAAAATCTCACATCAATCCAAAATCTTTTTCTTCGTCTTAGTATTTTCGTTACTATCATTGACGCATCCTTTTCATTGCTCTGTTGTCCTCGTCGTCATCACGCTCCTACAATCAACCGTTTTGGTATAATATTAGTATGAATCGAGGCATTGGCCAAATAAATTAAAATATATTAATATGAAGAGAAAAAAAATGATATTAGCCATGAATCTCTTTAATAATTTCATTATTAGGCCTGATTTGAGATTTGATTTGCGACAAACTTAAGATAAGTGAGTAAATAATTTTAGCCTTACATGTTTAGGTAATATATGAATTGTTTCAAAACCAATAAAAAATAAGCTACAATGTTTTATTATCCTGAATAAATTACATATATCTTTTGTCCATACCACAATGTATTTAGTTGAAGTAAAACATTTGAATTTGTTATAATTTTTAATAAAATCAATTTTGATCTCCATTAATATTAATTGCTTCCTTTCCACAATTCCTCTTACATATTATGCCCATCCC